CATACGTACCGTGACGTTGACGTTGACGTGACTCATTGTTCATTATGCTTCCGCTGCTTCGCTGGGCATCAGCCGCGGTGTTTCCATGGTAACACGCGTGCATTGTTGATGAGGGGGCCGTTGTCAGAAACATCGTAAAGTTAATGATAATATTAATGCTACGATCACACTTACGACTAATGTTAATGTTACGAGAATAGCGTTGATAGAAACGCATCGGAGGTCTTTCACGGGTTATTTCTAGATGCAAATAATGTAACCCATGAAGAGTGCGGTAATGTAAACCCAAAATAATAACAATATTAATAAATAAATAAATCAATAATAATAATAATAAATAATAATATTGTGACGCTGTTGGGTTACATGATCGCATCTACGTTACTCCGACGTTACCATGGTAACGCAGCATCACTGTCGTCTGCCCGCAGGTATTTCTTCTACACGCTGGCGTCGCTCATCGTTCTCGGTCTCGTTAACGGTCTGCTCATGCTGCCCGTGCTGCTATCTATCGTCGGCCCGCCCGCCGAGCTCGTACCACGTGACGACCCCAACAAGATCCACGCGCCGACGCCCGAGCCGTCGCCGACGACGCGCACGCGGCAGCCGACGACCCACGCCGCCGCCGCCGCTGCTGCTGCTGCTGCGCGGGCGTTCAGCAGACGCGCGGCGTACCCGCGCGCCAACAGCGACATCTCGCTGTCGACTATCACGGAGGAGCCGATGTCCTACCAGTCGTCGCATGAGATTGTGCTCGAGCCGGAGGTGGTCGTTACGACGTCCTACCCAGCCGCTGCTGCTGCTGGGGGCAGGACGCAGGGGGTAAGCTACATAAACACTCGTGCTCTACTTGTTTGTTTATGTTTACACACGTTATTCACTAAAGTCTATTGTTATTTACTTTTGTATATACTATTGTTATATACTATCGTTATATATCGTTATACTTCGTTATACATCGTTATACTTTTGTATATACTATCGTTATACTATCGTTATATACTATTGTTATTTACTTTTGTTATATACTATATACTATTGTTATATACTATCGTTATACTATCGTTATATACTATTGTTATATACTATTGTTATATACTATATACTATTGTTATATACTATCGTTATACTATCGTTATACTATCGTTATATACTATTGTTATTTACTTTTGTTATATACTATATACTATTGTTATATACTATCGTTATATATCGTTATACTTCGTTATACATCGTTATACTTTTGTATATACTATTGTTATATACTATCGTAGTATCAGCATCATCATCATCAGCAGCAGCAGCAACAGCAACAACAACAGCAACAGCAGCAGCAGCAGCAGCAGTAGTATCAGCATCATCAGCAGCAGCAGCAGCAGAGCAACAGCAGCAGCAGCAGCAGCAGCAGCAGAGACAGCAGCAGCAGCAGCAGCAGCAGCAGCAGTCTATAGTAATCAGGGCAGGTACACGCGTGTGAGGCCGGCACCACTCACCAGGTAAAGGCGTGTGAACCTCCACCTTCACTTTCGTCTTCGTCGTCACCGTGGTGATGTGTCGCGGCGGGGGCGTTGCCGTCGCACCGGATCCCGACGACGAATGAGGCGGCTGCAGGCAAACAAGTGAACAGTGTTAACACTCGACCACAGATCGGTATGACGGTCTCGAGCAATAGGAATTGTTCAGATGAAGGATTCGTTCAGAACCTTGATGGTAGGTAAAGAAGAAGTAGAGGGAAGAAGATAGGTAAGAAAGTTGAGAAAGGTGCAAGGACATGATGGTAGTTTCCTACCATGATGTCAGTGCAGGAGTGAATAACAGAAATAAATAACAGAGTGAATAACAATAGTATATAACAAAAGTAAATAACAATAGTATATAACAAAAGTAAATAACAAAAGTAAATAACAATAGTATATAACGATAGTATAACGATAGTATAACGATAGTATAACGATAGTATAACGATAGTATATTGCTGCTGCTGTTGCTGTTGCTGTTGCTGCTGCTGCTGCTACTGCTGCTGCTGATGATGCTGCTGCTGCTGGTGGTGGTGGTATTACTGCCGCTGATACTGCTACTGCTGCTGCTGCTGTTGATAAGTCTAGATCTGCTGTTGCTGGTGCTGATACTGCTGCTGTTGCTGTACTATTAGAAGTAGTAGTAGTGCTATTAGTGTAGTAGTAGTCAACGTGGGTGTACTAAGGTACGTTAGTGTAAAGTTATGATGAGGTTAGTGTATAAGTTAGGGTTCGGGGCATGTTAGAGTTAGGAATAAGTTTTAACAGTACCCAGGGAGACATAGTAGTATATAGTAGCTGCTATGGATTAGAAGGTTTTTTGAACTATCTCTACCATTCTTCCTGCAGGTCAGTGCGATACAAGAGAGCACACATACAAACACAAGCGACGGCGCGACGGCAGTGGCACACCACCAGGTGGCGTGAGAATCTCAGAGATGACCGATTCCGATTCCAATAGCAAATGAGGTGCGTCAAGTCATCCGGACGTCATTTCGCGTGAAACCGGTCGCCCTCATTCTCGTATCTTATTCGTCGGTTATGTCAAAGCTGCAGCCAATCAGAATCAAGCTTAACGCAAACAGTGACTGACAATTTTGTTTTTTCCCCCCCATCAGGCTGCTTCGTTCGAGCAGACAAGTGAACGTTGCAGAACCGTTGCCCTGGAAACGTCGCGGAATCTCCGCGGAGCAGACGACCGCGCGTAGGACACGATGGAGCATCTTTGGCTGCGGTGTCTTGCTCACATCGGAGCGAGCACGCCCCCCCCCCATCCCACTGTTATTATATACGCGAGAATTGTACAGTATAAGATTTGTTAGCCGCGCGAAAAAGTCGCGAGTATTTATTTGCCCTGCATTGAGTCCTGCACGCTGCACGCAGTCAGCCAATCATCCACACATCACGCAGCTCAACCAGACATGAAGCCCACCGAAAGAAATCGCTTTCTCACGGTTGCCTCGAGCAACAGTCCAGGAGGCTTAGCATCCCACGATCCATAGGCTTAGCATACCAGATGTGAATCTCACGTGTTGCCGGCACGATCACCCGAGTCCTATCTCATCTCATCACGTGCATTCTCACCACGCCTTCCCTGGATCGTTCATCATCATCTTCTTCATCAATGCTGCGAGCACACAACATGTACCTTGTATCACACCACGTCTTTAGCAGTTCCGTTCGAGTGTTGCCCAGTGGATAGACATTAGGGGCGTCACGCGCACGCGCGTTGTTTATACACTAGCCTGAGTGCGAGCCGTATCGAGAGCAACAGGGTTGTCATATGGTTTTATATAATTTTAGCGACATGTACAGACTGTCTACCAGGCACAGCCGGCCGACCGACCCGACAGAGAGCAGTGTAGTTAGCAGACAAAACCGCACCACCACACCCTGGATTTCTGTTACCGAGTCTTCCAACTCCCCTGCCCTTTCCCTGTCCACCCCCTCATCTCCTCCGACATTCCCACAGAAGAAGTTCCGTGCTCTTGGTCGGTGCAGCTTTCGTGGGCCGAAGTAATGATCGGTTAGTCGTGCCTGGTTCGATTACCTCGTTGATTGTGTGTTTACTGTAAGATACTGGTTTATTTATTCGTATACTTAATAAGAGATTGTCAGTATTATTATTTTCTCACGTAGTAACTGTTGCTGTGGCATAGGCGGGTTGTAGCGGCTGGTATAGACAGCAACATACCTGTAAACTTTATATATATATATAGTATATATATACATATATATACATACATATATATATACAGATATGTTTATCGCTGCGCTAGTACACACAATTGCAAATCAATATATGCACTGTAAATTCAATGATGTTGTAAAGTTATTGTGAAAAATATTGTTTATATCTGGATTTTGTGAAGTAAAATGAAATAAATGTAAATTATGTCACCACAATAACGCAGCTGTTTGTTGGACAATATCGGATCCTCTTATATTCACCAAAAACAATTCAAAGCACGGTACATGCTATACGCTGGCATGGGGAACGTGCACTTAGGCAAAACACAAATAAACGTAATTTCAGTTTTTAAGTTTTATTGTATGCAACCATTAATAGGCAAATGCTCTCTGATCCGGACATGTAATTGCAAAGTTGTTCTAAATACCGTCTGAATGAATGTCAGCCGTGACAGCTTCATACCATGACCCACGATATACCAGATCCTACTTTACGACCCCCTAATACGACCTATGTGTTTAGAGGGCAGCTTGTTGCCGTGTTACTCAGCCGACTGATTAAGATAGTGAGGCAACAACCTACAACAACACGTACTGTGACAGTACTGAGAGATTGCCTACACTCTCAACCGACAGCAACAGCAGCATGGTCCATTCATACAGTACAGGTGTAATCTAGAGAGAGAGAGAGGAGGAGAGAAAGAGATGAGACAGGGAGCATCCAAGAGTGACATCATGACGAGTGTACACACACACGCACGCACGCACGCACACACCACACTGCACTGCAATGCACTAACACAAATTCAAACCAAATATTGAGGGAAGAGTGATGAGCTCTAGTCCCCCTCCTGCCCCTCCTCCCCCTGCTGCTTCTCCTCTAGCTCCTCCTCCTCCTCCTCCCCCTGCTGCTTCTCC